GAGCTGGGTATTCTCGGGTGTGAATGTCCTCGTGCCCCTCTGGGCCCTTTATATGCCCTGGCTGGGAGCTAATGACCCCCAAGACGTGAGGTCATTTCCTGGAGTTGTAGCTGCCCGTTGAAATGAGAACTCTGGATTTAACTGCTGAGGCAGCGATCCCTAAATCACTAAAGGATGCTTTGTTTTCTACCTGTCTGCTTTTTCCCTTGAACTGAATACCTGGTGATGTATATCATCAGAACAATTGCTCATCTGTCAGCTTCCAGGTCATGCCATGTGAGAAGATGCAAGTTTGAAGAATCCAGTGTTGCCACCATCACACTTTCCTCTTGTTTGCTGCCATCGGTGACTTAAGCATAAGACTGGAAAGTTCATGAGTCACAGGCCAGGTTTCTGATTGGCATTGAGATCAAGTAAGAATTTCTAAAAAGCCAAAATGGTTCATAAGAGCGGATGTGTATTGATTCTGCTATGGAAAGCATGGCCCAGTATTTGATGACACAATGCCTAACCTCGTTTGTAAGAAAATCATCACCAAAGCTGCTAGACTGATTTTATTTTAGTAATCTGAGTTGGTTTATAACTCATTAACACTTAGGAGACACTATGTAGATGATGCTGCACTATTTGGGGGTGGAGAGGGAAAGGAAAGAAAAATAACTCTCAAATAGTTTCCTATCACATAGCAGTCACAAATTTTAGTAAGGCAAGACAAAGATAAATCAAGCAATTAAAGGGAAAGAACTTTTCTGGAAACAATAAAGTCAAAGTAAGTGGGGATTTAATTCATTCTGTGCCTTTCTGAATGCCCTTCCATGATTATTGTCTTAGAAATAAAATTGAAATTGGCTATTTCTTGCTTTCTTGCTTTGACATATGCACTTTGTATTACATACTTCAAAATCTATGGACAATATCTACAAAGGAATCAGTTATCTTTCTGTCACAGCTGCTTTAGTTTGTTGGCTGAGGGTTTTGTTTGCTTATGAGGTGGTAAGGTGGCATTATGAAAAAGACAAGGGGAATTAGTTGAGCTGGTGACCAATAAAATAGCTTTGTCTTTTCCAGCCATAGTGAAGACGAATAGGAATACAGAATGGAAGGTAGATTAAAGATAACATTGTCCAAGGAATGCTGGTGGTCTTCAGCGCAAATTTACCTCTGAGGTGTGTTTTGTTTTGTTTGCTCTTTTTAAAAATACACCTTTGGTCTACCATATCCCTGATCTTTGAAGGCCTTTGAGTCTATGATCCATCATAGTCCATCACAGTTTTTGGAAGACCAGATTTACAAAATGAATTCCTCCAAAGTCGTACGGATCAAAGAGTGGCAAATCTTTAACAATACCACAGGTCTTCTGTGGAGTAGAAACACTGGTGATGTCTCCTAGTCTTTTTCCAACTTGGAGTCACTCAAAATAGACAACATGTAGCAGTTGTTATTAAAAATTTTTATTCTCCTTAGTGAAATAAAATAAGTACTCACTTGATACATGGTATAGCATACTGTTCTTTGTTTCGGAATGTATACAGAGATGCCAAACTAAAAAGAAATATGTCTATAAATCCACTGCTTTTGTTAACAAAAGAACGCAGTACGAAGAAATACTTTTTTCTAAAATTATAGGCTGTCAGAAACCTTGCTCTTCATCCATATCAGTAAGAAGCAAACATTCCACTCTTGCCTGGACAGGATCTAAGTCATTTGGACAGAGAAACAACCTCAGTACCCAAACCAGGTGCAGAATTTCAGACAATTGACTTTCAGACACAACATTCCCCATTTGTCTTAACTATACAGCTTCCAGCAAAGGAGGACCATAAGTCTGTTTCACAGACCACATCTGGTGTTAATTATTTTTTAAACACAGCCCTGTTTTTCCCTGAGCTTATGAAAACACTATGTCATGTAATTTTACCCCACCATTCCTCAACATTTTATAATAACATTTCTCTACTTTGTTTGGGAGGATGCCCTGTGGTCCTCAGCCATGTGGTCTCCCTTGCTATAGCATGTTGATAGTCCTAAGCTGTTGGACAAGAGGTGTGTCCCTGGTCTTTACCACATGGACTTTTTAGTCATATTATTCAAGTTACACACATACTTCAAGTGCATAATCACCAGGATGGAAACAAGTAAATCTTAAGCACAGTGAAAATAACTTGTGAGATTTTTGTAGTTGGATAGATAAAGAATGTAGTGTTGGTGCCCCTTTGTGATGGTGGGCCACGCCCTCTTCTTAATAGTTTTATGAATTGTATTTTGTTAGGAACTAGTCTGGGAGCCACTAGATGTTAGGAAATTTATTAAAATTCTGAAATTAGAATATACATTCCTTAAGGACTTTGTTCTCAGAAATAATCTTAAAAATATCCTCCAATCGTAAGAGTCAGAGATGGGATGGGGAAGATTGATGGGCAAAGGGCAGGAGGAGAATGGAGAAGATAAAGAAGGATTCCAATCCTTTCTCCATCTCTTTGCAATTGTAAATGACTTACCTTAGCCAGGTTTCCTCATCTGTAAAATGGGCAGAGTCTTCAGTGCCTGGTGTTCTTCAGAGGCTGGCTTATCATAAAATCCATGCAAATGTGGAAGACAGAGAGAGGAGTATAATTAATTAGATATAATTAGAAAAGAGAAAATAGTTTAGTTGGGAGAGATAGAAAAACTAAATGATCGGGGACTGGTGGAATTTGTTGCTAGAATTTTTTTAAAAAATTCATCTGAGTTTTTTAGATATTCATCTGCCTAAAGTCAGGGAAGGCAAAGTAATCTTTTGGGGTCTATTACAGCTTTGAGTTGTTTAATTCCCTTGGATGGTTCAATGTGAAAGAAAGAGTCTAACCATCAGATACTTACATTTTGCTCAGTCCTTCTTTTTTCCGATGCTGCACTCCTATTCATAAATCCTATAATCTCGGACTCATTCCTGTGGACTTGTAGAATGAATTTTTAAAGATCATTTTCATTCTGAGACAGCCTTAATCTGATGCCAAGTTGTTGTGGGTTTTTTTTTTTTTTTTGCCTTCTTCATTATATTTATTAGAAAATCTATTGCTGCCAGTAGAAGTGGACTATCCTGAAAAAAAAATTACAATTTAAGTGTGATTAGTAAAGCCTTCCCCCGAATTTGTTCCCATTCTCAATGATTTGGTATGTAGTAGATAGCACGTCTTTTGAGCCTGTTCAATACAATCATGTCCAAATGCACCACAGGAATATAAATGAATGGTATTGGGCATTTAACTATGTGCCAGGGCATCTTGCAGTCATAAAAAGTTATAAAAGTTATTTAACTTTCCCAATAATCAACGTTGGTAAATGTTGCTTTTCCCGTTTTGCGGACGGGATAACTAGAGTCAGAGAGGTTAAGTTACACCAATGCCGAAATTTTTGCTTTAAATAAATACCTACCTTTTAAAATTCTTGTGGTAAAGACAATTTCCTTTTAATTTATTTTGATAACTAAACAAGCAGAAATTAAATACTAGTTATGTATTAAATGTTGAGCTCAGTATTGGCAGCCAAAATAAACTATGATCCCCTCCTTGGAGGCCAAAAAAAACATATAATCTCAATACAATGCCTTATGGGGAGGGAGGTAAGCTATTGGAACTTGCTGAGAACTCCTAACCTGTGTGTGTGTGTGCACGTGTGCACTCATGCATATGTATGCAAGCGCACAGGTGTGTATGCATTTGCACATGTGTTTGTGTGATACAGGGTTTGGGATAGGACTACTGGAGAAGACTGAATTGAATCTTGGAAATGACTCAGAGTTAAGTAGGTGATGAAGGTGAAGAGAAAGAGTGTGTGAAAGAACAGATAAGTGAAAGAACATGAGGAAAAGCAAAACATTTGGAACTGCAAATGTTTAATAACTATAAGGTCAGTGTTGCTTGAAGTGAATCTTAGTGGGGAGCAGTGAGACATGGATCTGTAGAGATGGGCAAAGGACAGGCAGCAGACTGCCTGATGTGCACACGCTTCCTAGCCACATGGGTAATCTAAGGACTAGTCTAGCTCTCCTGTAACATCTTCAAATACTTGTACCGGGAATCCTAGTGCCTCTCTCTTTTCCTCTTCTGTCTTCCTCATCATCTCCATCATCTTCCTCTTCGCTTTTCTTCCTATTCATTGCCTTGCCTCCCCTCTTCACTTTTATTTAATCCCTTATCTCTTCCTTTTTGTCTCTCTTTTTTGTCATTGTTGTCATTTTATTCCACCTATGACAAGCTCAAGACACTTTTTGCACATTCATTTCTCTGCCAAATTGATTCTTCTGATTACAGTTTACCAGGTGCTATTTCAGACTTATTACTATATTACCCTTTTTTCTTAACTGTGGTTGTCTTCATTGTGGCTTGTTCCAGTGACTATTCTTGGAAGGCTACCAGGCCATGCTTGTTGAGATCTCAAGGAGCTCAAATCCTGGTCTTCCTCTGAAATAATGGTCCTGAAATTCTAAGGAATTACATGGAAGTGACAGAAAATAAACAGTCTTGGGCCCCATTCCCAGATATTTTGATTCATTAGGTTTGGTTTGGGGCCCAAGAATGTGCATTTTAAATTGCAAGAGATTTTAGTGTGTATGATGCATGGGCCACACTTTGAAAAACGCTACTCTAGGAACTATGCTAAGAAGATGAGATGCACTGTGCTGGTCAGGTTTACTGCCAGTGGTCATTCTGGGCTTGGCATATGCTATTCCCACTTTTACCCTCTTCATGAACATTGCATTTCCTTTTGTCTATTCCATTAGCCCATAAGCTCTTTGGATGCAAGGCATGTAGCTTGTTCATCACTAATCAGGCTGCACCTGTCAATTGGAGGTCCCTTGATAAACAATTCTTGAATGACTGAATGGATGAGATTTCCATGGATAAAGTTTTGCTTAGGTTGAGCTTTGGTTCCCTGGTGCAGGTTCCAAAATCTTGCTTATCTGTGTGCACTAATAAACATGCACTAACAAATAAATCAGGGAGCAGGGCAGTTTGCTATGCCAGGAAAAATTAGTTTATTGACAACAGTGAGCAACACATTGCAAAAGATGATGGTGACAGTTTGAGCAGTAAAACCATCAGATTGTAGAATGTGTTTGCAAAGTCCACCCCAGGGATTCTTAAAGGTCAATTTACTATCCATAATGACTAAGGTTGATGTGGACACCTGAAAAGGTGGGTGAGGGTGGTAGTGGACATCTGCTTATACCAGGCTGTATCCAGATGGTAAAAATCACTATTGTCACCTGGTGAAAAAATATCTATTTTTCTTTTGACTTTTGAAAACACCAAATAGACGTTTAGGCTTCAGTGTATTGCTCTGTGGGGGCAGTGGGGTCTCAGCAGGAGAAGGTCCTGCAGGTGGTGCTGCAAGGCGTCGGCTGGCCGCAGGGGGGCCGGCAGCACGGGGACTGCACAGACACAGGCTGGCAGCAGGTGGTGGCCCAGCAGCAAGGCCTGCAGACCACAGCCGTGCACGACGTGGGGCAGCAGGTGATGGGGCGGCAGCAGCCTTCCTGCAGGGAGCAGGGGTCGCAGCACACCGGGCGGCGGCAGGGCTCGCAGATGGGACGCGTGCAGCGGGGCACGCAGGTCACGGGGCGGCACACGGTGGTCTGGTAGGTCACGGGGCGGCAACAGCAGGGGTCGCGGTAGCAGCAGGGCTGGCAGCAGCCTCCCCCGTAGCTCAGGGAAGAGAAGGTGGAGCCGCAGCAGGAGCCGGTCATGGTGGTGTCTGAGGCTGGTGTGGGGTGGGCTGTTGAGAGGAGCTGGATGTTCTCAGGTGTGAATATCCTCCTCCCGCTCTGGGCCCTTTATATACCCTGGCCTGGTGTTGATGACCCCTCGACACATGATCATTTTCTTGTGCATCTTCTGGCCAATTAAATGAAGATTTAGCATTGACTAATGGTATTTTGGTCACTCTTCACCTCATAACATATTCATGTACATACACCACAAATATTCACTCATTTTCTTGTGTTGTTTATCCTTACCAAATTTAGACATTGGATTCACTTCTGATTAATTTTCCTTTGAAATATTCCTAACCCATAAGAGAGAAAAGAATGTGTTTTCTAAACTATTTAGTGTCTAATCGCTCTGCCCTTTGGCGCTAAAATTAGCATGTTATTCCTTGTCTTCAAAGGCTCCCATCACCAGCACCCAAGCAGTGACTTGCCTTATTAATGCACATGGGCATGATGGTAGCAGGTTAATAGCATCATCCTAGTGCAGACCAGTAGTCATCTGCTTCACAGATAGCTCCTTCCATGACTCACTTAAAGACAGGCTTGTGGTTTTTCATGTCAGCAGGGACCACACGAAATGCGGATCCCTGCCCACTGGTGTGGTCACTCTCCCCTGACTAGGACCTGGGCTTTCCTGCCTTGGTTTTGATGTGTCATCATTCACCTGGAATGCCCTCCTCATCCTTCCAATCCAAACTCAACTTCTACCTTGACTGTAAAACCGTCTTCAAGGATCCATTGCAATTATTATCTTTGTAATTTATTTGGAATTAGTCATTGCATCTGTAGAGTCTGGGAAGGGACTGTGGAGAATATGTAGGCCTATGCCCTCACTCTACAGCTGAGGTCCTGAGAGTGTACCAAGGTCACACAACGACGTCACTATATGAGGTCTGAAGTCCAGGTCTCCTCAATCTTGAGTGAGTAGCCTCTACTATGAGTTTTATGCTCACTGGGTTCAGTAAACCATGGTCTTTAGACAGGAAAGAAAACATATATTAAATTAGAAGCCCAGACTTCAAGCCACTATGCAATATATCCATGTAACAATGCTGCATTTGAACCTCTTACATTTATACATATTAAACACAGATTTAAAAAAATAAGTAATGAACTTTCCTTTCAGCAGTAAAGTTAGAAGTGGTACTGGAAGAGAATTAGGGAAATGTTTTGCTCAGATGACAGATTGTCATCCTGGGCCCCCATTGACTCCAATAAGGATGACAATGTGTCCGAGAGGCTAGAGAAGGGACCTGGAGACAGCTAACATGACGCGGGGTTTGTTAGGGGAACTTACATACAAGGGTGGTCCAGTGGTGGTGTCTGGACAGGAGAACTGCTACCATTTGTAAAAAGCATGCCGTTCACATCGTATTTTCACTTAGAACCCTCCACCTAACAACCTCCATTTAATCCAAAACAAAGGGCCTCAATCCCCAGTATGACCTGTGTTCTAACGGATGAGGTAGGGATTCAAACGTCCTTCATAGATAAGGAGTGGATCTCCAGGTTGGCCCCTCCCAGATCCTTAGCTCAGAACTCCAAGCATACATTCTTCTTTGATTGTAGGGTCATTCTCAGAGTATGCTTAAGTTAAGTTATTGCTGCCAGGTGTGTCTGCCATACCCTCTACCCCAGCATGCTTGAATAGCCCTTACATTCTAATCACACCATTCTTCTGAGATTTCCCTGGGGCCAGGGTTTGCAGAGGAGCCTTGCAACCAGATGTTTCAGCAGCAATACAAACTACTGCAACAAAAAAGAAGAATGAATGTAATAGCAATCATACTGTATATAAAGTTTTTCCAAGTGCTCAGGAGTTGATTAAACCATGTGGTTACAGGGTCATAAGATAGTGATTCTATAGCAGAAATATGTATATCTAGGGCCCGCATGGCCTGTGTTACATTGTGAGAGTAATCAGGGATATATACACAAAATTCAGTTTTAATTAATACACAGGTTCTGCCCTGGTAGGTGGTTAAGATGTCCTGGGCCATGCAATTTTGCAAAGTAACGCACCTAATTTGGGCAGTTTCTTCAGTGAGAAGAGTAATATCATGATAGGTATCATTAAAGACTGCAGCCCTATGTTTAGCCAGGGCCCACTTGGGTGGTGGGCAGGGGTGGGGAGTGGCAAAAGTGGCCAACAGGTAAAACTACAAGGATGCATGCTTCCAGTAGTGCCTGGCTTTTACAATTTCCCAGTTAGGAAGAATGGTGTGTAAACTGGGCATGATGTGTCCCAACAAATGAGGATGTCCCCGGGTGCATCTACCAGTCCAATTATAGGGTAAGTAAGGACAACCGTGGATGCCATATACCCACGGCCATCCTAAGGGGCGTGGTAGGCCCCCACGTGGAGAGTCACTCTGTCATCGCAGTCACGTATCACTGGTTACCTGAAGAGATTGGTTACATTGCCGTCACATTCCATGTCTATCACCTGAAGAAATAGATTACATTACACTGTGGGGGTAGCCATCCCATATCACCGATTTTAGCTTGTGGCATGCTATTATCATGCCTTTTAATACATGTGGTTGCACAGCCCACAAGCTGTATCTGTACTGCTGTTGTCCACCCTGGCCCATCGTCTACAGAATATCCCACAGTGGGGGTGACATTAACCTGCTCCTATGCTAGGTGGAAAATATGTTGTCTCATCTCTGATGGTGGGAAACTTATCACATGAAGTGCTTTCACTGCGAAAGGGAAATGGGTGGGGGTCTTTATACCAAGTATAGAAGTGGCTCCAGATACTGAGGTTAGCTGCTTGGATGCACCATGGCAGGCTGATGCTGGAGGAGAAGGGCAGCTCTCTGCAGAAGCAACTGTCCATTTTGTTTTGGAGAAAGGTCACCATTTGCACCCAGTTGGTGAACAGGTAAACCACCTATGGGCGGCAGGTGAGATACCTAGTGGGTAGAAGAAAGGGCAAGTCAGCCGGGCATGGTGGCTCATGCCTGTAATCCCAACAATTTTGGAGGCCAAGGTGGGTGGAACACCTGAGGTCTGGAGTTTGAGGCCAGCTGACCAACATGGTGAAACCCCAACTCTACTAAAAATACAAAAAATTAGCTGGGCGTAGTGGCACATGCCTGTAATCCCAGCTACTTGGGAGGCTGAGGTAGGAGAATCACTTGAACCCAGGAGACGGAGATTGCAGTGAGCCGAGATCGTGCCACTGCACTCTAGCCTGGGCAACAAGAGCGAAATTCTGTCTCCAGAAAAAAAAAAAAAAAAAAGAAAAAAAAAAGAAAAGAAAGGGCAAGTTAGGCCATCTAAATCTAACAAGACAGGAAGTTGTGTTGCTCTGAGACAGCACCACCCCCAACAGCAGCCTGTGCCTGGTTTGCAATACCACATGGATTGACCATTTCTGCAACGTGTTGCAGCCAGAGTGAGACAGTGGGGATATTGTAATATCCCATAATGAGAGGATGATCACCCCTTGCACAATTGGGGACCAGGATTGATTATTTAGAAGTACAAGGAGGAATAGGTTGTAAAATAGGTGTGATCTATATGTCATGTTCTATGCCCTAGCACCATGGAGTGAAAAAACTGTACCCTCTGGGGCTGGTTTGTGATTTCCGGGCCCGTGTAATGATGTGCTTTCCAGTGGGTAGGTTCTATGGCAAGGGCATAGACCCAGGTTGAGTTCCAGGTTGAGGCAAAGGAGTAGGGGACAATCCCTTATACTGTCAAGCTGGATCATGACGGTGGTATCAGTCCTTGAGCCAGAAGAGTGTGTGCACTGGGGAGATGAGAACACACACGTTAATTCAAGGGTGTCTTGGGCCTGCATGGCCTGGGTTACATTGTGAGAGTAATCAGGGATATATATATATATATACACAGTTTTAATTAATGCACAAGATCCACACTAAGTGTCCAGGGCTTGTGATTTTGCAAAGTGACACGTCTAATTTGGGTAGTTTCATTCAGGGCTCAGATGGGTGCTGGTAAGCAGTGTGTCCACAGAACCAGAGAGGGCGTCTCCTGCCAGAGTTGTTTCTTCAACGGTTGTTTCATCCATTCAATCAGCCCTGCTGCTATAGGGTTGTACGGCAGGTGGGTACAATGGATATCCAGGGCCTCCACCGATTCCTGCACTTTGTATACGGTAAAGTGAGAGCCCTGGACACTGCTGATATCAGTGGGGATGCCACAGGCCACACATAACTCCAGTCTTCTTACAGTGGTTGTCTGGGTGACATACTTGCTGGGATATGCCTACAGTAGCCCCATGCAGGTGTCTACACAAGTCAAAGCATAGTGGAAACCATCAGATAGGGGCAAAGGTCCTTGGAATTCTGGGACCTCGGCCTTCATCCTAGTATAAAGGGGCTGGTACCTGCCATTCCTCTGTGGGAGGGCAGTGGGCTGAGCCTGAGGCTCCTTAGTGAAGCACTGTTCCAGCTGGAGCTTCCGCCATAGCCTGACTAGAACAGCATTGAACTGTAGGCTCTTAGATAACAAATCCAAGCATGTCAACCTGAAAGCTGTGTTTTCACAAATAGGCTTATGAAAATGAGATTCTCCTTAGATTTAACATGAATAGGCTCACTTTGCACTATCCATTAATCCTCATTTTATTGATACAGCTAAAGATTTACTATCTCCTCCAGAAAATTTATCAAAATTTACAATAAAACCAACCCTGTCACAAATACTTGGCCACTTTTCTATTTTTATTTTCTTTGTAGAAAGCCATCTGTTCATCCTTGTGTATTGATTGGTGTATTAAGCTGATTTCACATTGCTACCATGGTTGAATTAGACAGCTATTGCTGCATAGCAAGCAAGCACAAACTCTCATAGCTTATTGTAACAAGTATTTATTTATTGGTTATATATCTGTCAGTTAGTTGGGGTTTGATTGATTAAGGCTGGCCTTGGCTTCTGGCCACAGGTTGGTTTGGGACTTTCTTTTGAATTAGAGTTGTCATAGTTAGCAAATAAAAATACAGGTTCCCCAGTTACATTTCAATTTCAGATAAACAACAAATAATTTTATTACAATTATATCTGATTATGCATGGGCATACTTACATTTAAAAATTATTTGTTGTGTGTCTGGAATTCCATTTTAATGGAGTGTCTGGTATTTTAGGGGGCAATCCTTCTCTGGGAGCGGAAGCCCAAGGGAACAAGCTCACATTTTGCGTCTTTGGGTCATGCCTTCTGACATCTCATTGGTCAAAGCAACTCACATGGCAAAGTTCAAGTCACAGGGTGGAAGAGGATACTTCTGGGTTGTGTGGGAGGAGGGGGGAGAGTAAACGTTAATAAAGAATAATCTAATCTACCAAAGTAGAAAATCAATTATTTTAATAATCTTTGTTGTGAGGCTTGGAAAAGACTTCTAGAAGATCAAATTAGATTATGTCTATTTCATTAGAAATTCTATTTTGGGCCAGGCGTGGTGGCTCATGCCTGTAATCCCAGCACTTTGGGAGGCCGAGGTGGGCGGATCATTTGAGGTCAGGAGTTCATCACCAGCCTGGCTAACACAGTGAAACCCTGTCTCTACTAAAGATACAAAAATTAGCTGGGCATGGTGGCAGGTGCCTGTAATCCCAGCTACTCAGGATAATAATCAAGTGACACAGCATATCCAAGAGTATTGCCTAGAAATCTATATTTATTAAAAATAAAACTGCCTAAGGTGTTCTAGGAAGATGCCAAGAAGTATCCAAGGCCATGACCTTCTCATCAACTCCTTGCTGGGTGCAATTCCATCCATAAGAATATGGCCTAAATTCAAATACAACTGCGACTTTGTATTCTCAAGAAGATGAATCAGGAGTAGGGCTCTGTGAAGTATAGCATAAAGAGCCAAGTTTTTTTTACAAGACGGGAAAAACCAAGGACTTAGTGACTTGAGAGGATATCAGTATTTCTGGTGGAGCTTTGGTGGGTCAAAGACCATTCATCTTGCTGCTTGATGAGGGTGGCTACTTCCCTGAACCACATGGAGACACACTGTATGGGAAGAAGTGCCTCCTCCTGCTCGTCTTCTGCAATTCTCGTCTGACACCATGGTCAGCTTCTGTTGTGGTTCTGTCTGCTCTGAACAGAGCTGTGGCCAAGGCCTCTGCCAGACGTGCTGCTGCCCCAGCTGCTGCCAGATCACCTGCTGCAGAACGACTCACTACCATCCCAGCTGCTGTGTGTCCAGGTGCTGCAGGCCGCGGTGCTGCCAGTCCCTGTGCTGCCAGCCCACCTGCTGCTGCCCCAGCTGCCACATTTCTAGCTACTGCTGCCCCAGCTGCTGTGTGTCCAGCTGCTCCAGGCCCAGCTGTTATAATCCCCAGTGCTGCCAGTCCTCCTACTGCCGCCCTTTTGCTGCACTTCTAGCTGCTGCCACCCTGGCTGCTGTGTGTCCGGCTGCTGTCATCCAGTCTGCTGCCAGACCACCTGCTGTGGCCCAGTCTCCTGTGAATCCTCTTGCTGTTGAACTTCATTCCTGACCACCAGCCCTGGTTCAACCACCATGTTGTCAGTGTACTAGTCATTCTCCTTCCTCTTCTCCACTGGACCTGGCCTTGCTCTGATCCACCACTACATTTATATAGCTAATTGTTCATTTCACCAAGCAACCATTTTAAAAGCAACAATTTAAATGAATATCTTACAAAACCTCCAACTTCTATGCCTGGTGTACAGTCAGAAGACCAGAATATCTCACACTATTTCATTGGAACAGGCTTCTAAGCTTACAACTGCTGAGTGTGGTCTGGACTTTGCAATGAATTACGTCTGGTAGAGTAACTATAGCTCAATAAATACTCTCTTGGTATCAAAAACATTTGTGACCTTTCAGTATTTCTTACAATTGATTATTTATTTGGAAAACTGTTTGGGTTTCTATTGTATGGACAATAACATAAAAAATGATACTATATGTATCAGCCAAAGCCTGTATTAGAGAAAATGTCAAATAATTCATTTTTTTATCCAAAACAGATTGCACACTTTACCTGCCATCAAGTTTGAGACAAAACAGTAACTCAATTTTTACTGTAATTAAATTAAGAACCAATTAGCAAGCTATTGGGCTCTGGGAATTGCATAAAATGAATGAGACCCACTTCTCGTCCCTCAAGTAACTCACAATAAAATCATGGGTTTTTCCTTTTTTTTTTTTTTTTGAGATGGGGTTTCACTCTTGTTTCCCAGGCTGGAGTGCAGTGGCATGATCTCAGCTCACGGCAACCTCTGCCTCCTAGGTTCAAGTGATTCTCTTGTCTCAGCCTCCCAAGTAGCTGGGATTACAGGCATGAACCACTAAGCCTGGCTAATTTTGTATTTCTAGTAGAGACAAGGTTTCTCCATGTTCGTCAGGGTGGTCTCGAACTCCTGACCTGAGGTGATCCGCCCACCTCGGCTTCCCAAGGTGCTGGTATTACAGGCATGAGCCACCACGCCCAGACTGAAAGTTATTTTTCTTTCCTTTCCCTCTCCACCCAATAAATTCAATTAATCATGGATTTAATTTAAATACATATGTCAGGGAGAGTATGTTGGTAACATTAGTGAGAAAAAGGACTCTCTTCTGTTGGAGAAAAGTAATACATACGTAAGGATTGATTCATAGAAATAAAATGTGTCAATTCTGAAAATTCAGGGTAACATGCATCGGTCTCAAACATGTAAGATTATGTGAAGGAGAATCAGATCACAGCCGAAATGTATATATCTTTAAGAAGAGTAGTATTATTAGAAAGACATTTAAAAAATTATAGTCCTTTCAAGGAGGAGGGACATGTCAAGATTAATTCATGGTGAGTTCTATGGAAAAATAAGAGGGATGATTTTTAGGCTGCAGCCATAGAGTCAGTGGGAAAATCAACGAGCATGAGTGACGAAACACGTCACTGTGGGAAAGAAAGTGATGGAAACTAAGTTGGAAATGCAGCTGAGTTCTATTTTTGAGATGCTTCATTGACCCATTAATGATATTCATCCACTCATGCTCCATTAAAACTCCAACTGCAGAGTTTGCATGCAGGTCTAACTATGAGACATGCAAAGGTTAGGGCTCACTACACATGACCTGGATCAAGTCACGCAGCTGCCTGTGTTTCCTTTATAACTTTGAGATTCCCTTTTGCATCAGGAGTTCAGTTCATATTGTATTTCCTGTGTCTTTTCAAGCCATTTCCTTCCATTTCAAAATGATATCAATCAAAATGATATCAGTAGGCTCAAAAGCTCTAGGCAAAACTTTTAGTTGAAAAGGAAAATAAAAAGGTAAAGTCAGCACAAAACTCAAACAACATATTCAGAAATTGATATGGTAATGCAACGTGAGAATCATATCTTTGGACTCAGGCATCCCTTTTCAATTTATTCCAGGGCCATAAATGGTCTATACAAGCTCTTTCTCATTGCAGCATTCCTTAAGTACCTAGGCCTGAGAAGTCTATCAGAGTCTCAAACTAGTAATGATGCTTATTCTGTCATATCTGTATATTGCAAAACTGTATTTGTTTTGTTCATTTCTATGATCTCTTCTATGGCACATAAACATTTATAAATATGCTATCTTCATTTTTGAATTTTTTCCTTTTTTTTTTTTAGACAGGGTCTGGCTGTGTCACCTAAGCTGGAGTGCAGTGGCACCATGTCAGCTCACTGCAAACTTCAACTCCTGAGCTCAAGACAACCTCCCCCAGCTACTTCAGTCTCCCAAGTAGCTAGGACCACAGGCATGCACCACCATGTCTAGCTAATTTTTGTATTGTTTGCAGATACAGGGTCTTACTATGTTGCCCAGGTTGGTCTTGAACTCCTGAGCTCAAGCAGTCCACCCACCTTGGTCTCCCAAAGTGCTAGGATTACAGGTGTGAACCACCATGCCCACTTTATCACCAGAAAGTATAGGTATTGTTACCCCATTTTTTTTTATTTGCCTACCACTTGTGTATTCTTTGCTGTTTTTAATCCTCTACCACTTTTGGAATATTTGAATCTTTTTAAAAATCTTTTAAAATTTTACCAGCTTCATCTCTCCAAACCAATATTTTATGCATGGCATTTATACTGTAATGGAATTCTTTATTTTGACTTATATTTCAGTCAATGGGAATATTTCTTAAAGGAATTTAAAAGGAAAGTTATATATCCTGAGTCCTTGAATCTATGAGGAGATCTTTCCACTGCCTTCACACATGACCAATAGTTTGTGTGGATCAAAATAATAGCATCTGGTTCTCTCACCTAAGCTGGAGTGTGGTGGCACCATTTCAGCTCACTGCAAGCTGCAGCTCCTGGACTGCAGCCAACCTCCCACCTCAGCCTCCCAAGTAGCTAGGACCACAGGCATGCCACAATGTTTTTTGCCCTTCAATACAGTTTAGGCATGAATAAAATATTGAGAAATAAAATTAAACTTCAGAATTATTTAACATGCTTTGGAAACACAGAGAAAGAATCTTACCAACATCTGGAGCATGGGCACTAGTTTACTTCAGGAATAGTTAAGGGGGAGTGTATATGTGAAATACTAAGTCTAATTTTAACTGTTTAGTAATAGTAGGTCCTTAACATGTCAGAAAATAAACACTTATGTCCTCTTATCCTCTTCGAATCCATCATGATACACCAACTTTTAAAAGGTGTTAAAAAACAGAAATCCTCTTCTTATTTTCTTAGGACAGGAGATAATAGCACATAAGAAAGGGTAGCAAATTTGGGGAAAGAGCAATGGTGGTCAACTAAAGATAACAAAAGGAGCTACAATGTGAATGCATACAGAGAGAGTACCACAGAGTGTAAAGCTGGTTTTCCTTGAAGGCTCAGAAAGGCTCAGAACGGCTCAGAACCTGGAGGCACCAGATAATACTGAAGGTAGGGTAGGCAGCGGGCTGCTTAGACCCCTGGATCCCTACCCCACCCTACAAAGTTGCTCATTAGGCCTCCCCTACTTCCAACCAGGAGAAACAAGAGGTTATCTTCTAGAAGATTTAGTAAGAGATACTCTAGATTTGGGAACACTAGAGTGAACAAAAGTCAAGAATAGAACAGAAAACAGACCCATGCAGTGAAAATCTGAGCCCTGTGCTCATCATCCAGGACTCTGATGACCATAAGCCTTCCAAGCAGAATATTGGAAGATTCTCCTCTAAAGAAACTAAAGGGGCCCAGAGAAAGAACATATAAATCTTGACTTCCTTTTGGTGGACGAAGGGGAGGAGAGGTGAAGAGATAAATTAACAAACCCTGCTGTCCACGTAGGACTTTCAATTGGCTTTTTAGTGCCATGTCAACTATATGCTGCAGACACTTGGGAAATGTCTCCAGCCTGACAATTCACACTAATTTAAAAAGAACAAAAAGAAAAAAGGGGAAAAACAAATTTGACAGGAATAGAGACTATAGGAAGCAGCATAGAACTAAAAAAATTATAAAACAAGAACTACTATAAATAAAATACTCAAGAGAGCTGAGAGAAGAAATTCTATCTTTGAAATAAAAACAAGATTCTAAGAAACAGAAGCAGTCAGAGAAGTCGGGTGAAATCTTGAGAATTAAAATGTGATAGAAAAAATTAGAAAAAAGTTCAGTAAAATGTTTGGAAGGTAAATTAGAATAAGAAGTCAAAGAATTTGTTCTCCTGTCTTGAAGATAGGTAAAAAAAAATTATAAAAAGAAGCGAAAGAAATGGACATTAAGGAAAATATAATAACACAGAGGATCAATTCAGGAGATCTACCACTTAATGAAGAAAAATTTTAGAAAGACAGATAAGAAAACATAAGGAGTCAGGTGTAATGGTGGCCTGTGCCTCTAGTCCCAGTTACTTGGGAGGCTGAGGTGAGAGGGTCCCTTGGGCCCAGGGATTTGAAGCCTGCCTAGGCAACATAGTAAAGTCTTGTCTCAAAAGGCAAAAAGAAGACTGGAAGGGAAGGGAAGGAAAGGGAATGGAAGGGGAGGGAAGGGAGAAAGAAGGAAAGAAGGAAAGAAAGAAAAAGAAAGAAAGAGAGAGAAAAAGAAAGAAAGAGAAAGAGAAAGAAAAGGAAGAAGGGAAGGAAGGTAGAAGGGAAGAAAGGAGGGAGGAAGGAAGGAAAGAAGGGAGGGAGGAAGGAAAAGAGAGAAAGAGGAAG